GTGCAGTGTAGAACCGATGAAGCACATAGCTTTCCTCTGGTTCTTCCTTCCCCTCACTATCATGACCCCAATTCTCCCTTACAAATCTGGTTAGAGAGCATTCACATGGGTACAGAGCTGGAAACACAGCTAATACAGGACAGATAAACTTCTCGGGATCAATATTGTGAGTAGCCATACCAGGAGGGTAAGTAAAGGCAGGGGGAGAAAGGGGGCACTGATCACAATGACCTAACTATAGCCCCCTCCCAGGGGGATGGACAACAGACAGGTGGGTGGGGAGAGACATTGGACAGTGCAAGACATGAAAAAATGATAGTTTGGAAATTATCTAGGGTTCACGAGGGAGGAAATGAGGGGGAGGGAGGGAGAAAAATTAGGAGCTGATACCAAGGGCTCAAGTAGAAGGAAAATGCTTTGAAAACGATGATGGCTACATATGTACAAATGAGTTGAGACGATGGATGGATGTATGGATTGTGATAAGAGATGTATGAGCCCCCAATAAAATTATTTAAAAACAAACAAACGCTGCTATGGAAGAGTGAATGGGGCATATTGGTGCAAGTATCTCACCTTTTAGAGGCGATGAGAAATGAAAGGGTTATGGCCACTGCATAAGCCAAAATCCTCATGTACATAGTTCTTATCTAGGGGGAAAAGTGACCTCATTCATGGACCTGGGGGAAAAAAAAGATCTTAGGTTTGCACCACAGCCTAAATCAGCGATGTCTAATTTGATAGCCACTAGCCATGTGTGCCTGTTTACATTAAGTTGCATAAACATAGCTACTCGGTTCACAAGTCACAGCGAGCCACCTGACAGTACTCAGTAACCAGTGTGTCCAGTGGCTATCACGTCAGCTCGGTTCTCGCGGCAGAAAGTGTAATTGGACAAACGTAGCCTAATGTCTCGTCTAAATGGGGTCGCAAGAGCACAGTTTAAACGGCTCGATTTTTGGAAAAAAAACAAACAGCCACAGTGGCAATGAATGGTGTGAGGTGAGAAAAATACTGACCGACTTACCCAAACTATTTTTCCACCAAAATCTAAGAGCCCAGTATGGAGTGATAGAATCAGAAGACTCGGGAGCAGGTCTGCGTCACACTCAGCTCTGAGTCCATGCCCCAAAGTCGTGGGGAAAGCTTTCTCGAACTTGATGGTTGACTCTCCTCCATTTTCCACCCCAGATTGTCAGATTGGACCGAACGATGGAGCAGATCGTGTTCCCGGTGCCCAGCATTTGTGAGTTCCTGACCAAAGAGTCCAAACTGCGGATATACTACACGACAGAGAGGGACGAGCAGGGCAGCAAAATCAACGACTTCTTCCTGCGGTCCGAGGACCTGTTCAATGAAATGAACTGGCAAAAGAAACTGCGAGGTGGGTCTGCCCCACGCAGCCTGCGCTGCCGGAGGAGGCATGGCTGTCCCAGCATGCTAAGCTAGGATGAGGCTGGCGAGGTTGTGCCTTTGCACTTCTACCAACCAGGAAGCTCTGGACACTAGTCTAGAGCTTGACCAATGGACTCCAGCCCAAGGTGGCAACTCTTTTGAGTCTCTTCATGTCGTAATGGAGTTGGGTGGCTCTTATAAAAAGAGCATGGGAGAGGGGAGGGGAGGGGAGGCCAAGTCCTTGAACTCACAGGTTGATGCACTTGAGCAGGGAGTGCATACGGCTTGATTTTTTTTTGTTTTCTAGAACACCTGCTTGGGAGACACAGGTATTTCCCCTTTCACAAAGGCCTCTCCGTTTTTTTGACTCTAGCTTCATTTTATAGGCGGATGCCTCATTTGCCACGTAAGCTGCATTGGTCGTGGTTCACCAGCAAGTCCCGTTGAGAAGCCCAGGCAGCTGGGGTGCAATTTCTTGTCTACAAGAAATTGTTTATGGGGCTTCCCCAGAGGGCTTCTCAGCTTCTGGTTTTTATTAGGGTTTTAATGGGCTCCTTCAGTCCCAATAGTACACTTGACGCCAGCTGTTGTGTCCAACTTAAAAGGATCACGATTTGTTTCGATCTGCTGATCAGGAATCAGTTTGTTGTTTAAAGCCCTGGATTCTGGCTGTGGTTGTGATGTTTCTGGACTCTTCTTTGGGGGTGGGGACCGAGCTGGAGTGGTGGAGTGGGGTGGCAGGAGAGCAGGATTGGAAGCCCATTTCTAGAAGCTTCTGTCTTCTTCCTGAGTCCACCTAGCAGTCGCAGGTCAGCCTCTGAAGCTGCTTGTATTTCAAGGATCTCTGGTGGTGCAGTGGTTAAAGTGCTCTGCTACTTACCAGAAGGTTGGAGGTTTGAATCTGCCAGCCATTGTGGGAGATAGATAGGGTCATGTGCTCTTGTAAAGGTTACAACCTTGGACACCCTGTGAGGCAGTACCCCTCTGTCCTCTGGGGTCACTGTGGGTTGGGATGAGTGACTTTCTTTCCCTTTGCTTTATCCACTTCCTGCTGCCCTGGCTCCCACTCCAGAGTGAGTGGGAGGATCACATTTGCAAGAAGTGCTGTTCGCAGCCCAACTCTGTACCTGACCCACGTTCTATTCTCTTAGGTTTCTAAGGACCACTTCATTGTCCAACGCTTTGAAACACTACACAGTGTCTTAATGGGTTAAATCCATTCCTCTCCTGGCTCTGCACTGAATACTAGGCAGAGGCTGGAATGGAAGCTTCCCCTGCCCTCCTGGTGGGGCTGCCAGAAGCCTTAGTGTGCACCCCTACCCCACACCAGGTGTCTTGCCAGACTACTTTGGGCTTCATCGAAGACTCCTCCAGCTCAGTATTCCCTTTTATCTGTTGCTTCCAACCTTCATGGAGGTATTCCATAATTCTAGTGTGGGGGACTAATCCTGATTCACTTTCTAAAATTTCATACAATTAAGACTATACTTTTACCCTTTCCAATGTATGAGTCCACTAAGACTAATCAGGTGTGTTTTACTTCTGTGAGAATTGTGTTATCATATATATATGACATATATGTGTATATATATATAATTTGTTGCATATATGTAATTTGTAGAAGCAATGTATGAACCAAGAGAAAGACCCTCATCTGTGACGGTGAGGTGGAAATCTCATCTCCCTTCTTGAGATATTCAAAAGTCCTCGGATCCAAGAGCTGTGGCTTCTCGTCTGCCACTTCTTCTCTTGGGCAAATGACTTAAACTGCCCTGAGGCAAAAACCAAACCTCCTTCGTCCAGTTGATTCCAACACATAGTGACCCTGTACAGGGTTCCTGCGGCAATAAATCTCTATGGGAGCAGACAGCTTCTCCTGCAGAGAAGCTGGTGGGCTTACATCACTGTCCTTTCAGTTAACAGCCCCGTGGCCACCAGCAATGCCACCAGCGTTCCTCACCCTCATGTACAAAGTAGGGATCAGATGATCTGGTTGATTCCAGTATTGCCATCTTAATCATTCCAAGTGCTGACACCCCCGACCGAGATGCGCTGCAGACACCTTCTCTTGGCTCCACTTACATCACATGTGTGCTCACTCACAACACTCATATACACATGTACAAACTTACGGCTTGATCGCTAATGCCTTATTTTAGCCTTTTTCCCCCGTAATTATTTTTGTTTCATGTGAAGTTTAAACGTAACTTTAGTTGTCAACTGAAAGAGTTTAATTGGCCTCACAGCTATCTGCTGGTAAGAGGAAAAGTGAAAATAATACTGAATTAGACATGGTTTGCATATAGAGGAGGGAAGGAATGTACGTGCTAGAAGTACAAGTGTAATTAGATGGATTTTACTCCTCTAAGTAGCTTACTGTATATACTTGAGTATAAGCCGACCCGAATATCAGCCGAGGCACCTAATTTTAACACAAAAACTGCATCAAAAATGTACTGAGAAACTTGGCTTATACATGAGTATATGGTATTTATCTTCTAATAAGTCTGCAGAAAAGATTGTGCTGGGAATATTTGTGCAGCTGCTGTGCTGTGTACCTGAATGTATCACAGAAGGATAACCTGAGCTTTGATAAGCTGTAGCTACAGCTTGGATAGCTAGTGATCTGTTTGCAAGTAATAACACACCCCATTGTTGTGCGCCCCAGAAACCCTTGTCCAGCTCCACTTACAACATGTGTGTGCACATGCACAGCACACACATGCACATGTACACACATGTTCACATACAGCACAGGTGAGTACATGTTCCACATGGGTGCATACCTATGCACACATACATTGCATGCACACGTGTATGTACCCACGTATGCATGTGCCACCACACACATACACACATGCCCCATGCAATATATATGCCTACATGCCTCCACTTGTGTGCCCACATATTTGTATTTATATACATACCCTACACACTTGTTGCATATGCACACACATACATGTACAACACATGTATGTACACACCCTTTACCCTCTGTGTTTTCATGTCATCTCTCTGGCCCTATTGACATCCTCTCCTCAAGAGCTAGGAAGACATGGTTAGGTACAGGGGAGTTGGTTGCACTTTATAACACCGTGAACACTGTGTACAACATAGTGAAACACTGGCCAGTCTTGTGCCATCCTCCGAATCTTTGCTGTGTTAGAACCACTGTGTCAATCCATCTCTCTTATAAAGGGTCCTTTTCTTCATCACTAACCTTCTGTTTGACCAAGTGTGATGTCCCGCTCCAGGGGCCAGTAGCTGCTCATGACATTTCCAAAAGTACATAAAAGAGGAAATAAATGTGTAGTTGCACATGCCAGCACTTTCTTGCTTGGGGTTTCCCCTCATGATTATTACACTGGCCAAAAGGGAAATGGTGCCCCTGGGGAAGGAGACCTGGTGATCCACTTCCAAAGATCAGCCAATGAAAGCCCCGTTCAGCTCAGAAACATGTGGGGTTGTCATAAATCATAAGCAGCTCAAGAGCGACTGATTATCTAAAAGAAAACATGCTACGAGGCACAGTGGGAAATTCGGGGCTGTATAAGCTCTGATTCCTTCCTGCAGAATGTACCCTGTTCACACAGGCTTGTCTTTAAATGGTTGTGCTGCAGAGCAGATGATGCCTGGCTGCAACTGAGTGAGGACACACTGGGGACATGTTGCAGAGGAAGGCCTCAAAGCACTGCTGCAAGGACCTTGGCCAACATAAACCTCAGAGGATGGAGAAGGGACGGGATATTAGTTTCTTATGCATGGATTATGTTACAGTTCCAGAGGTCTGAAGTCTGCTGGGGTTCTCCCTGGGCTAATGTCACATTGTCAGCTGGGCTGCGGTCTCCTGGAAGCGCTAGGGGAGAAGATGTTTCGTTGTCTTTTCCAGCTTGTAGAGCTCACCTGCAATCCTTGGCTCGTGGCCCAGTCCTCCACCTTCAAGACCAGCAGGAAAGGAAGCCTGACTGCCTTTTAGGGCCTCGTTTTGAAAGCCGCACCCCATCACGTCTGCCATGTTCTACTTATTAGAAGCAAATTCCTAAGTCTGGCCCACGCTCATGGGGAAGAGAATGAAGCCCCACCTCTTCAAGGGAAGAAAAGCAAAGAATTTGTGTGCAGATTTTTTAAATTACCACCAAGGGCATTACATGGAAGTGCTGCAGGGTGCTGGGGACTGCCTAGGAAGCAGGTCTACTCTGCAACACACGGAGTCACCAGGAGTCAGAATGAACTCCATGGCAACAGCGCAGAGAGCCTGGGGCTGGGCGTTCTCGTGTGCCCATCACCCAGCCCCTACCAGCAGCATCTTCCAGTTTCTTGCCCTTCATTTCTCCTGGCCTCTTCTGACCATCTTCATACTCGGTCAGATGTGAGCTATGGTCTTAGGAGAAAATGCCTTGTTTGTAGAAAAGCGGTTGTTTCTAGAAGAGAGGATTCAGTCTTACATTGGCTTCAGCCTTTCATTCACAGTAAATGGCTAACTGCAGCTTGAGTGACCCCTGGTCAATTCCTGTGTGTTGCTGGGATGAGCCTTCATCTTCATCCCCATTGTTGGCAGGTAACAAAGTTACTCACCTGGGCCATGAGATCCCCACAGCATCTGCCCTCAGCTGGGCCTCAACTGCCTTCATTTCTAAACTGAGGGATTTAAAACTACCAGTTGCTCCTAGCTCTCCAGTGCTACGGTTTAGAAACATTGCCTGATACTAGCTGCAAACCTGAAACCAGCAATTATTAAATTACCAAGCGCTCTGTTTAATTGTGCTATAACTTTATTTGAGGAGGAAGCTTCCAAAGACTTGGCTGCAGCTGTTGGCTTCATTATAGGGCCATTGGATTTGTCGTTGGCTGCTGTCCTAAAACTAAATGACTTCATAGGAAATAAGAAATGAGTGTAGAGATCCCTTCTCACAGACTCCCTGCTCTGGAAGGAGGCAGCGTTGTAAGAGACTGCCTCTTTAAAGCTTTGCCTCTGGCGTCTCTTACTTAAAGCTTCACCGTAAGTGTGAGGTGCCATGAAAAAAACGAGTTCAGGAGAAAGAGACCCACCATTGCACACAAGGAGGTGCTGCCAATGGTGGCATTCAAACAATGTAGCAACCAATTTTGCTGCCTAATGTCCTTTTATATATATATTAGAAGATAGACCAAAAGGTAGTTCATTATTTCAACATGGTATCAGAACACCGCTGTTGTGCAGATGAACGTTTTTTTTTAAAAATAAAAAGCAAGGTAAATGTGTGATTTCCACATTGGGCAGCTGCCCACCTTAGAGCGAACCCTGATTACAAGCGCCATTTTATTGCCAAGCTCCACAAAAAAGTATTAGGTATCAGTTCTATCAGTTCTGCCCAACCGGTGTGAACTGGCTGAATCCCACAACTGGTTGTGGCCCACCTAGGTTTTTTCCTCCCCAAAGACAGAATGTCCAGTCCGTGTGTCATGCCGCTGCTAAGAATGAAGGTGACCGCACATTCAGAAGTGTCTCTTGCCCCATGTGACAGCCTCAGCCCTGCCTCCTTTCTCTGGGCCTTTGAAGGAGCGCTCCCTACTGCGGACTGCCCGCTCAACTGCTGTCACTCCTAGCTGCCGCACCAAGGAAAAATGGCAGTTGACTCACTGTCAGGAAGGGGATCCTTGTGGTGGGTTCAGGCACCAGTGATTCAGTGGATGATTCTCACCACAGGGAAATGTGGACACGGCACCAATCTCTGTCTACAGCCCAGATGGCCCAACTCTGAGTACTGTGTCCCTCCACCTCCTTCCCCGACTTCTAGACTGCCAGCTGAATTCTTGCATCTCTGGGCAAATCATCCACGCCAAACGCTCTGATGGGAACTAAGTTTTCTTCAGTGGGTAAACTCTGGGCCACCCCTAGATTTCAAGCCTGACGGTGTTGACTAGGGCTCAGACTTTCTAGATGTGCCAATTTTCCTATTTCTCGTCTCCCTTGCCCCCTAATAGACCCCGTGTTCCAGTCAGTGTTCCCGTCAGAAACAAACCAATCTGCTGTCCTTAGGACCCTCTGAGTCAACTTGCAAACAAGTGCTCCTTCTGAGTGCTGTGAAAACTGGAAACAAGAGTAGACATTGTGGGAGAGAGCTGGTGGGAGGGCAGTGAGGCCTGCCTGGCGCTCCGACCTCACATAACTGCCCTTTGTGTTCACAGCCCAGCCTGTGCTGTACTGGTGTGCTCGCAACATGTCCTTCTGGAGCAGCATCTCCTTTAACCTGGCCGTCCTGATGAATTTGCTGGTGGCGTTTTTCTACCCATTCAAAGGCGTCCGAGGAGGTACCCATATCTGTGATTTCAAGGAAACTATTAGAAGCAATGGGGTCCGTGAGTGGTGCAGTTAAACATGTGACCACTAACCAAAAGGTTGGCAGTTCAAACCCACCCAGAGGCATCTCAGAAAACAAGTCCTAATGATCTACTCCTGAAAAATCGGTGGTTGGGAACTGTATGGAGCACAGGTGTACTCTGTCAAGAGTGGGATTGCCATGAGTCGGAATCTACCCCAGGGCAATTCTTTCATTTTGTTTTGTTAGAAGCAATAGATAAATTACTAATCCTGTTTGGTCACTGGTGCAATATCTAAGAGCCTGAAAACTCAGTTTCGGGAAATCTAACTTAAAATAATAATAAGACTTAGGAGAAGTAATCGTGCTGTCTTGGCCAGCCCGTTTTTATTATATATTAGGAAAGTAGACCTCAGAGAGGTTGCGAGATTTGGCCAAAGTCACACAGCTAGGGAGGGCAGTGCTAACTCTAGATACTAATATGTTGATATATAGTCCAGTAGATTTCCCATACACACACACACACACACCCACACACCATACTTCTAGAACTGATTAAAGACTGAAGTGTTTGTGGGACACTTCTGGAGATTTTTCTGTAATGAAGGGTGGGGTGAGGTGGGACTTGAAGGGGTGTAGGCAGGGGGCGCTTCCCTGAATGTTTAGTCTCTCGTGCTGTTGTCCACATAATGGCACAGTCTGTTCGCAGGGCCTTGTGGGCTTCCCCACTCCATCTCTCCTTCCCAGCAGCTGGGTCCATCTCCACATGGCGCGGCGAAAAGGCAGACTGGGCAGGAGAGCCAGTTCTGTTGCAGGGCCCTCAGTCTGCTGAATGGCATTCTGAACGCATTTCACTCTTTGACTTTTGGAGCGAGACATTGAAAGTTCTTCCCCTGTGATACAAGGGGTCTTCAGAAAGTTGTGGAGAAATTCCACTTTAGTTTTCATTCCATTTTTTCATGAACTTTTGGAAGCCCCTCATATAGTCTTAACCCATCTCTGTCACCCACCACATTCTCCTGGGAGGTCTACATTTCAGTTAATTTTTTTCATCACATCAGCTCATGTGAGGTAGTGACCCTGCCAGGAGCCGCCTTGTGTGGAATATATAATGGGAAGAAGAGCCCAAAATCAGACACAGAGCAAGTTGTCGGAGGAACGAGTTATAGGCTCAGTTCTGAATGACTAACAACATGTGCATCTGTAATAAAAGTACATTTAAGGATGACATGAAAGTGAAGAGGTCCTACATTATGTGTGTACAGCGAACCGAGGTCCTGAGGTGCTGAAAGTGTAAAGGCGAAAGCTAGCCCAATAACTGATGCTTGGCCACATGCAGCAGTGCCACAGAGAAAGGGCCTAGGGCTTGGCTTCGGAAGTCCGTGGAGCGGGTCTGCCTCCTTGGCCAGCCCTGTACCGTGGGATCACCTGAGTTGGAGTCCCCTCGGTGGTAGCAGCTTGATTTGGTGTCATCCCTTCTCTTCTACATGGGAGACACTAGAGAGCTTTTTTTGTTAACACTCGGTGACATAGCATGATCAATTTGAGTGTTTTTCCTCTAAAAACACTACCTATACACAAGGCCCACAGGGCTTTCCCTTTTCTGTGGCCTGTCAGGAATCACATGTGTCCGTGTCTGAAAAGACTTGGCGAGTCTACGGGCCTGCAGGGTTTCTCTGAAGGGAAATAGGACTTACCTAGGCTGCCAGTTAGGTCTCTCTCTACCTCAGAGAAGTCGCTGTTGCTCATCATAGCAGATTATTCACTTGTAACCTGGGATGTGGCTTCATTTGCTCTCAGTTTCAAAAATATTCAAAATGTTGGCTTTCATTATACATCTTCACCATTTTCTCAACTGGTCACTGTGGTAGCCCTCAGCCAGAGGCTGGGGACAATGAATGGGCTCCTCCCTACTCTAGTAATGTACTGTTGCAAGACTAAGGAGCCTGGAGACTTGGTGTCCTGACTTGGCCCTGCCACTACTTTGTCTTGGGGCCAGTTCCTTAAGTCCTTTTTATCCTCTGGAATCAGAGGTGCTGACACCAAACCAGTGGTTGGGGAACTTTGGTCGGGGTTGAAAAACTCTTACAGATGTCAGGGAAAATGAGTTCCAAATCATTTAGGATCTCCGAGGCTTCTGTTTCTTGCCCATCAGAGGTTGAGAACCATTGGATGACATGATTGTTAAAGGTCCTCCCAACTCTAAAGCAGTATGTTCTAAATCTGGCATCAACTCTGGTTGATGTGTCGGAGTTAAGGCTTCCTCTTTTGGACACATTGGACAAGGAAATTTATGGTGGTGGATTAAACCAAAAAGGATAATTAAATCTTATCAGAGGGAAAGGAGGTGGATCGGACCCCTTATAGTGACTGAGATTGTCTCCAACACATCAGTTCACTCTCAGAGGAGTTTTACTTCTTTTTCAAAATGTGGTGGAGCATTTTCTTATACCCACTGCCAACCAGGATGGTTGCTTTAGCCCTACCTAGAAACAAGATCTTGTTGTTGTTAGATATCATCAAATCAGTTCTAACTCGTAGGAACCCTACAGAGTAAAACACTCCCAAATCCTCACAGTGGTTCTTAGGTTTGGGCCCATTGTTGATGCCGCTATCTCAGTCCATCTTATTGAGGGCCTTTTTCTTTTTCATTACCCCTCTTCCCAGCATGATGTCCTTCTCCAAATGATGTGCTCATCCAAAAATATTTCTTTGGGGGGTAAATATCTTGTTCTGTTGGATCCTGAGAACAGGAATTTCAAAATGCTCACATTGAATATGTCATGACCATGTTATGTGTTCTGATGCGACTCTAGCTTACAAGGCTACGGCTTTAAGAAAACTGGTGGCCTTAAAAGCTCATCTTTCTCCTCCATTTGAAACCATGAATCACAGTCTTTCAAGGGCATGAGACTTGTCATATACCTACCAATCCAGCTTTAACATTATCAACATTTTGCCAATTTTCTCAGAAATACTTTAAAATATTCTAGACCTCTTGTTTTTTGCTTATAAACATTTCAGTGTGCATTTCTAATTTATATGGGTATTATATATGTGATATATAATATATAGAGAGTATATACATATATATTCTCTCTATGCCTTTAGTATAGCTAACAGTAAACTACATATTTTAGATTTCTCCATTGTCACAAAGATATCTCTGTAGAGTTGTTTGTTTGGAAATCTAATACTATTATTTTTAACACTGTGTTTCTAGTGGGAACACAGGAGGCTTTTTTATATTGGCCCCTTCAGGATTTGAAGGAGTTCATTGTACTGGTCAGGTTTATTATACTGGTGATTAAGCAGTTTTAAGAAAAATGAAAAGCAAGTCACAAGCTGAGAGAAAATATTTACAAAAAATACGTATAACAAAAGGACCACTCAGGGAGGAAAGGTAGAAAGTTTTAGAACCAAGTTCCTCTCCGTCTAACTCTGGAAATGGTCTGGCCCATTCTTGTGGCGATGAACTATTGAAAGCTTTACTTTTGCTTTTAGAAAAAGAAAAAGAGCTCTTACAACTCAATAATAAAGAGGCACTCATTTAAAACAGTGGTCAAAAGATTTGAACAGACATTTCACAAAAAACAATACTTACAAATGACTAATAAGTATCCGAATATGAAAAGATACACCACCTCACTAGTTATCAAGGAAATGCAAATTTAAACCACAATGACATACCACTTCTGTTTGGAATAGCTAAAGGTTAAAAGACTGACAATATCAACTATTAGTGAGGATGCAGTCACTAGAACCTCATATATAGAGGGGGAAAATACAATCGCTTTTGGGAAACAGTGTGGCAATGTCTCAAATGGTAACGCATATTTTTCACTGCCATAGGGCCCATTCAGACTCATAGTGACCCTATCGGAGAGGGTAAACCAGCCTGTGTAGGCTTCCAAGACTGCAACTCTACAGGAGTAGAAAGCCTCATCCTTATCCTGCCAAATGACTGGTGGTTTTGAACTGCTGGCTTTGTGGTTAGTAGCCCAGTGCATAGTCCACTATGTTACCAGGGCCATGTGTGCAAGAAAATGAAAATAAGTTTACTTTTAAGATTTGTACTTGCATGTTCCTGCAATGCTAGACTTACCTAATTACACAAAACTAGAAGTAATCCAGATACTTATAACTTGATGAATGGGCCAATAAATTGTAGTGCATCCACATGATAGAATATTATTCAGTAAAAACAAAACTCTGATGCATGCCATAATCTGGGTGATCCCCAAAACTTTATGCTAAGCAAGAAGTCAAAAATTTCCTCCCATTTTATTTTCCCCCAATTCTAGAAAATGAAAAACTGCAGTGTCAGAAAGGTGTCAACGTTTGCCAGGGACTGGGGGTGGAACAAGCAGATCAACCAGCAATAGGCCTAACAAAACTTCTTAGGGTGCCAAAGTGTTCTCTATCTTGAGTATAGTGGTATAAACTGCCAAATCTATAAAGCGTACACTTAGAATGAGTGGATTTTACACTTGGTCTTAGGCAAAAGGCTGAGAAGTGATGGGTGGATTTTTTGGTCTGAAATTAGCCACAATAAAGTTGAGGGGATTTTTTTTTTTTTAAATAGTGGTTACAACCAAGACTATGGAGCTAAGTGACTCTGGCTATTAACTGTGCTGCTACCTTGAGTGGTTTATGTAACCTGAGACTCAGTTTCCTCTTAACAGAGAGGATTAAGTCACAGGTTTCCTGCAGGTCAGTCCGTAGTTAAATGTGCAGGGAATGCACCTGTGCCTCCAACATCTTCCTGAAACCCTGAAAAATGTCTGCTTCCTTGGGCCCATTTTTAGATCCGTTTGCGTACATCACCTGTGGGGCCCTGAGCAGCAGTTTTAAAAGAAAAACTCAGTCTTGGCAAGTTTGGACTAACTACACTAGGGCAGCCAGCAAATGTGTGGAAGGGCTGTAACCTGTAAGGTTCTCAAAAATGCCTTTCGTGTGTCTTTCCTGGGCGGTGCTATAAGCCCAGCAGTTCTGAAGACATGAAACTCCTTTCTATAAGTGGCCTTAATCATGTAGTGCTGCTTGTTTACATCTGAAGGAGACTTAAAATGTGACAGCATTTGAAATAGGAGTGCGTTTTTTTAATGAGTGTTTTACAGAACTGTATTTTTAGCCATGTTGGCTCGTGTTATATAACCAAGCCGTCTCGTGGGACACCCTAAATAGAACTTGCACTAGCAAGAGATGACAAACACTGGTATCAACTCTTTGACTACACGGATAATCTAAATGTGGGATGATGCTAATGGTACGGAAGTTGCCTTCCTCCTTTCCTTGAAGAAAGCTGATTCAGGCAGAGGACCTGCAATTTTCCTGTGAGAGCTTTGAATGAAAATTAGGAACTTGGGCCCTCTGGTTTGCCTATCCCAAGAGAGAGACATGACACATAACCGAAGTTTTTATTTGTTGAAGCAAGTATTTGTTAAGTGCTTAATGAGTGCCAACTACTTCCCTCAGGGAACTTGGAGACCAGGGATCACTCGAGTACAGTATCCTATAGGGATGATCCAGGGCGGGTGACTCAGTAGTTGAATTGTTACTTTCCATGCAGATTCTCAGGCTCATTTCCCAGCCAGTGCACCTCACACGCAGCCAGCATCCACCTGGCAGGGGAGGCTTGTGTGTTGCTAGGATGCAGAGCACTTCCCACAGAGGCTCCAGGTTAAAGGGGACCAGACAGAAAGGCCCAGTGACTGCCTTACAACAACAACAAAATCAGCCAGTGAAAGCCCTATGGTAGTACATGGTGCAAGGGGTCTGCATGAACCAGCACTGGCCTTATGACAGCTAGCAGCTTCAGACCCCCGTGAGTGTGAGGAACAGAGATGTGGAGGGAGAGCTGGTACATTTTCGTGAGGAAGAGAATCAGGAGGCTTCCTGGGAGAGGCAAGACCTAGGCCTGAGAGGAGTAAGAAGAAGGAACTTGTGTGAAGACCTGGGGGTAAGGAAGAATTGGCTATGTCTAAAGCAGAGAATTATTTCTCAATTGTAAAGATAAAATGTACAGGTAAGAAACCACTTGCTGTTTTAACAGTCTTCACATGTCCATTGAATATATCCATCATGTTGTTCATCCATCAGCATAAGTCTTCCCAGATTTTTCCATCACCCTTAACAGAAGGCCACTGTCCCTTAAGCAGTGTTTCCTCCCTCTCCCTCTTGCCAGCTCCTGAGGTCATTAATAAACAGATCTCTGTGCAGCTGCCTACTCTAAACATTTCATACATGTGGTATCCTACACTAGCTATCCTTTTGTGTTTGATGTGTTTCACACATCAGAATCACTTCATGCCGTAGCACGCAGCATGCCTTCATTTCTCTTTGTGGCTGAGTAATATGGATGTACCACTAGGAACCCTGGTGGCATAATGAGTTATAAGTTGGGCTGCTAACCACAGGTCAGCAGTTCAAAACTATCTATCACTCCTCAGGAGAAAGGTGAGGATTTCTGTTCCTGTAAATATTTCCAGCCTCAGAAACCCACAGGGGCAGTTCTGTTCTGTCCTATAGGATCACTGCAAGTCAAAACCAACTGAGCAGCAGTGAGAGAGGACATTTACATGGTGCTTATACATTCATGTGCTTGAGGCCGAGAACCTGAAATGAGAGTTGTGATTAATACATGTGGTTGGAGCAGGTATAAATGAAGCCATTTTTTTATCTGTCACCTCTCCTGAGGGAAAGCCCTAACCTGTGAGGGACCTACCTTGTCTTTCCAGGGACTCTGGAGCCGCACTTGTCGGGCCTGCTATGGACAGCCATGCTTATCTCGTTGGCCATTGTTATTGCTCTGCCCAAGCCCCATGGCATCCGGGCGCTAATTGCTTCTACAATCCTCCGGTTGATATTTTCAGTTGGATTACAACCCACGCTGTTTCTTCTGGGAGCTTTCAATGTAAGTATGAATCTCTTCATAGACAATTCTCTCTGTGTGTGTGTGTGTGTGTGTGTGTGTGTGTGTGTGTGTCTGTCTGTCTGTCTGTCTTTATAGGCCAAGGGGAATGAATACTTCCTTTCTGGTTCCTGTAACCTTGGCTTGGACTTTCTCCATAGGGGAAAGAAAATGTTTTGGGGGTCAACTCATAAAATAGCAGCACCAGGAGAGCTTCTCACGATACCACAGACCTCCTAATGCATCGTTTGGACATAAAATATCTCACTTCTTAGGGTATCCCTCTCTCAAAAGTTAGGCAGGGAGAGGAATAGCAGTTGACCTTAAAATCAGTTTTGCCAATCTGTTCAAAAGTTTCTTGGGACGAGAGATTTAAGCAAGAAGTGTAGTTATGAAATATTAACACAGTGCTCATGTGTGGTAAAGACCACATTGACAAGAGAGGCAAGGGAAGAAAGACTGTTTGGAAGGCAGAGCTGGGTGGGCAGTCAGGGACGGCAGAGGGAGAGCTGTTTATGGAGTCCGTGGTGATCTTTGGCAGTCCTTGGTGAAGTGAGGGGTTAGAAGCCAGCTGCAAGTATAGAAGGACTCCTAGGAAGTGGAGACAGCTGATAGAGACCACAAAGTGGAGAGATTTCCTGGTGACCGAGGAGAAAATTTGATGCATCTAAAAATGCCTTCCAGCGGCTCCTACTCTGAACATGTAAGGAAGCTGAGATCACTGTGCAAAAATGGATATTGTCTTGCAAAATAAGGTAAACAATAATCCAGTGTCTCACTGTGAGGATTCAACTAGCAAGACAAGCAGGGCTTTGGAGAAGAGACTGATTCAAACTGACAAGCTCAGGAAGGTGGAAATGGAGTTCACTATAAGACTTCATGAGCAAGAAGACCCAGGCCAGGAAGTAGGGATCGACAAGTTTTTTGCTATCATTTCTGGAGGCCAGAGCCAAGCTGCAGGGAGCCCAGGATGTTGCCCAGGGCCAAGAAAGCGTGGAGTGTCACCTCATTTGTGGTTGAGGCAGGGATATGGTGAGTCCTGATCCTGTATAAGAAACCCAGGGCACTGAATTTTAGGCTAAAACAATAGGCTTTGATCCTACAGAGTAGTGTTTCCAAAGCACGTGTCATGCTGAAAAGTGGTAGGTGGAATGAGGGATCTGGGTTCAAATCCACTTAGGAAACACTGAGATCAACAAAATGAAACTTTCCTCTTAGGACAGACTTATTAAAAACTTTATTGTGCTAATACTCAGTTTGAATCTTCCAGAAAGGGAAACAACGTATTTGTGTTTCCCATATGTATTTGAAAATGAATGAATAAACAAACAGTCTCAGAATGAAGTGGGGGATGGCTGATAATGCTCCATATGCAGAAATATTCCTGAGAAAAGTCTTTCACTGTGGTATGTTATGTGGATTGCATGGGGAGGGGTGGAGGCAGGGGACCATGGAAGAGCCCCAGTAGCTGATTTCAATGAACTCCGGTGAGACTGAGCCTTGGTCACAGTGCAGATGGAAGTAAGTCCAGATGCCACATAGGGGGCTTCAGAAAGTTTGTGGAAAAGTGAAATTAAAAGATAACGGGGTCAGATTACAAGGATCTACATATAACCTCCTCCCTGGGAGACGGACAGCGAAGAAGTGGGTGAAGGACGACGTGGGATGCTGTAAGATATGACAAAACAATAATAATTTATAAATTATCAAGGGCTCATGGAGGAGAGGGAAGGCAAAAATGAGGTGCTGATACCACGGGCTCAAGTAGAAAGCAAATGTTTTGAGAATGATGAGGGCAACAAATGTACAAAAGTGCTTGACACAATGGATGGACGGATGGATTGTGATAAGAGTTGTATGAGCCCCCAATAAAATGATTTTTTAAATTAAAAATAAAAACATAAAAAAACAATAATGGGATTTTCCCATGAACTCTTTGAAACCCCCTCTTCTTTTTGAAACCCCCCCCTTACAATGGAACCAGTGGCATCTGGCAGGTGAGGAAAAAAAAAAAGGCTTTGCTCAAGACTTTCTTCCAACAAAGAAGGCACTACTGTTTGCTTGAGTGAGGAGGGCAGCAGAGATTACCCCAGATTTTCACAAGAGTGCAGCCAACCATAGTGAAGTCTTACCAAAAAATAATTTTTGGGGGCGTGGGGGGCGACATTGATGTAAATCATTGATAGTGGGCTTGGGGTGACAAGTTGTCGATGTTGGCTCTGGTGTTGGGAAATGAGTGACCCAAGAGCTGCCAAGGCTGGAGGAGGAGCAGAAGTATCACCTGCAGTGCGAGGAAGCTACTTACCAAGGAAATACGACCATAAAGACAGAAAGGTTCTTGATCCTGATGTCTTCTCTGGGCTGCCCACCTCTTTTGTTCCGTGGTTATCACGCAGATAACTGAGGGAAAGATGCCAATGAGATGTATAATAAGATAGCTGAGGGAGGAAGTGCAAACAGCTATAATTAAAAGATAGATATTGTTGTTGTAGTTGCCATCAAGTCAGTTCCAAACCACAGCGACCCTCTGCACAATGGAAGAGAACACAGGCCAGTCTTGCGCCGTCGTCACAGCTGTTAACTGTGTTGGAGCCCGTTGTTTCAGCCACCGTGTCAATCCTGGAGGGCCTCCCTCTTTCTGTGTCCCTCAACTTGACCAAGCATGGTGTCCAACTCCAGGGACTGGCCTCTCCTGACAGTATGCCCAAAGTACTTGAGATGAAGGCTTGCCATCCTTGCCTCTAAGAAGCATTCTGGCCATACTTGCAAGACAGATTAATTAATTATTAATAATAGATCATTATTTCAAGGGCATTTTTAAAAGAAACACGCCAGCTATGTTAGAAAAAGAGGAGTAACTATAGCTAGAGATGGAGGTAGGAAGTTGGGCATCGGAGAGTCTGAGAAGTAGGACACAGTAGAATTTTGTGTCATGGGTAGCCAAGGGTGGGCAGAATGGCAAGAAGGATGGGGGATGGGGTGGTGAGCTGTGCTTTTCTTCAGAGAAATGAGATTACCTGGTAAAAGAAGAATAAGAAAAAATGCTGTATCTATCCTTACAGAAGTCTTTAAAGACTTCCAGGACATCTTCATTTGCGAAGTGGGGCGGGAAGCCGGATATAAGACTAATCAGTCGGCCAGTAGGATGTGGAGACAGTCCATTCAAACCAGGCATGGGAAATACTTGCTGGTGGTGCCTCAGAGAAATCTCAGACCGTCTCCAGAGGAGAAGGGGAGTCAAGTGAAGAGGATTGCTGTGTTCTTAAGGCAGCAGACATCTGGGCATGTGTGAGGTCCTGTAATGTCAACCAGAGCATTGTCTTGGTGGTTGCTTTGCATTAGAGCTCTATCAGCCCAGACCAACCCATATTTTCCCATCCGCTGGACGATCCTATGGCCAAACGTTACGACTGTTGAAGAAACTAGTGTGCTGAAGGTTTAGCTTGTCAGAGAAAGCCAGAAGTTCTCTGTAGGTGTTGGCCTGCTCACTTATCTGATTGCTGAGAAGCTCACTTGCATTGACCTACCAGATTAACTGGCAGAATGTCCCCAGCACCTGTAGCCAAGAGAGCTAGGGTAGCAGAAGATGGTTTTTACCAAGTTCCCCGGGAGATCTGTCCTCCTGGGTTTTCTATCAACATGTGACTAGAGATGAGCTTTTGGGCCTGAGGTTTCTATCAGCATGTGTCTTTGTTACACTGCCGATGAGGTGGGACTCCTCTGTCGAGGGTATCGGAAAACCATCTCTCTGGGCAAGATCCTCCCTCAGGCATAGCTTTGAGTCCTGGAGCCCAGACAGTGGTAATAGGGCCCAGTTACTCATTTCCTCTCTCGGCTCTGCATCCTCTGTGTTGGTGCTGCTCTTGGATTCATGGCACGGAGAGATGGATGCTTGAAGAGCCAGAACTTACATTCTCTTGTGTTCCAGATCAGTGGGAAAGAACAAAGCGGTTGCATGCTGAAGTCCCAGGAATATCTATCATCGGCTGTGTTTGGCCATTTGCCTGCTTCTGAGCCATCAGTGTAGCCAGGGAAGTACAGTCTTATTGAGCCCAGAACTCAGATAGAGCCTCGTCTAGACACAGGACTGACATGGAAAGCACTGGTTCCCCATGGGAAACTGAGAAGCTCTTAACAAAAGAAGTGTGGGAGGGGGTGTGATACATACTCTGAGGTTCCTTTGTTTTAATTTTTTTTAAAAATCCCATTTTCTCTGTGAAATCAAGAGCAATTAAAGACAAGAGTTGGCTGCTTTCCCCACATCGCAGATTTATGGTGTCTGGAATGTCACAGAAGCCATCTCTCATCATGCTGATCACAGGGTTCCTGCGATGAGTGAATTCTGTGACTAATTCAGCCGGGAACATTAGGAAACTCTTCACAGCTCATTGTCAAAATCATAATCTGTGTGCGTTAATTTCGTTTTTGTCAAATACAAATGCAGTTAGATTGTGGTTGATCCTGCAGTTCCTTGAAGACTGTGTAGTCTGTAATCTGCCTGAAATGCCAAGTAATGAAATGACTTAGAGAAGTAAAGTGGGTCTCGGGAGCTTCAGTGGGCATATGGAGGCAAAGGAAGCTGTCGCGTGGATCCAGCTGTTGTTTAGTCTTCAAGTGTATGTGTGGCACTTTGTACGCGGCTATCATGGTTCCTGAGAGCTGTGTGTGACAGTGGCCATTAGCGTGCTCATGAAGCGTCTGAAGTTGGATGTCATCCGTGCCATCTGACATCTCCTATCTCCCTCTCCTCAGGTCTGCAATAAAATCATCTTTCTAATGAGCTTCGTGGGCAACTGTGGAACATTCACCAGAGGATACCGAGCCATGATCCTTGATGTTGAGTTCCTTTATCACTTGCTCTATCTGCTCATCTGCGCCATGGGGCTCTTTGTCCATGAATTCTTCTACAGCTTGCTGGTGGGTACCTGAGATTGCTTGCTGAATACGGTCCTCTCTGTCATAATAGACCCTTCCTTTCCATGGTGAATGGGATGCCTGGTCTAGTGCGGTCAGAGCCCCATTGCAG